AAAGGTCCTTTCCAACACAAACCAATGCATGATTCCACAATCCCTCTTCCTTCCAGGCTCATGGCAGCAGAAGGAATTTAGGAGCCTCCCTGCAGCTGGGAGAGCCTTTATCCCAAAGTTTATTCCTGAGCCAAGCCAATCAAATCATAATTGTAGCTTAATCCTAGCTTGGATTAAGAATATTAACGAAGTAATTTATTGGGATTTCTCCTGCCCCAGCCTGCAATGGCTCAGGAATAAAGTCTGGAGAAGCCAATCTCAGGGCTTGGGACAACTCAGCTGACCTTTTCCTGATTCTTTATTTTGTTTTGAGTAACAGAGGTGTCCACTGGCCAAAAACAGGGGTAGGAAGAGCCAGGCTGGATGTTATCCACTCATTCCTAGTGGGAGACCCCGGATGTGCAGCCACCCTCACCCCACAGCCAGCGTCAGCTCTTTCAAGGGGTAAAAACCTGAGATCCTGCAGTTTCAATCCTTCCTTGGAAGCCTTTCCTCTTCTCTTTATTACCCAGTCCTTCAATTTAACCCAGGGATACAATTTCTCCCAGGCTGCTTTCCTCGCAGCCACTTTCCTTGGCATCAGCGCTTCCCAACACGTGGCCTGGGATAATGGCTCTGCAATTCGGGCTGATTTTCCATCCATCTGAGCCCGGCTGAGTGTGAAGGGACAGAAATCCAGGGAGCTCTTTCAGCACATGTTTTATTTATGCCAAACCACAGCCACGCTCTCTTGTCTCCCACTAAAAAAAGGTTGGAAAAGGAAACGTCTCCATTCACTGAGCTCAGAGACAGCGTCTGAATCACAGCAGCCACAGCCCCAAATGTCCTTCCCTTTCCTCTCAAACTGACAAAACATTCCCTTCAAAGTTTCTGTTCTGTATTTCCCTTTTTTTTTCCTCCTCATTTTTGCAACATCAGACCGCACGGGGAGAAGGGCAGGGAGGAAAAACCCTCTGGAAATCCTTCACCTTTTTCTTCCTCAAAACCTCACCGGGGTTTCCCATCTTTTATGAGTCTGGCAGGCTTCAGGTGGGTGGTTTTCCCTTCATCCCATCACTCCAGGGACTGCAGCAGCAGAGCAGCAACTGCTCCATCACCTCCCCTCCCCTCTCAGCACTAATTAAGATAAATCAGCCGAAATTCCTCCTCTCCTCAAGTCTGAAGGCCTCATCATTAGGCAGATGAGAGAGCAGCCAAGCAGAGCTGATGAGTTCCCTTCCCCAAAGTGGCTGAGTCACCATTCCTGGAGGGATGTAAAAGACACGGAAATGTGGCACTCGGGGCACATTGTCTTGTGGTGAACACGGCAATTAAACGGCTGCACTTGATGAACTTAAAGGGCTTTTCCAACCTAAAGGATTCCATGATTTAGATCACCTGATGGGCCAGGGGAGGCGGGGGGAGCCCTGCCAACCTGAAGCTATGGAATGTGGCTCTGGAAAACAGGGGGCTGATGAGGCTTTTTCATCCGTGAGGACCAATAATCAGTTGGACACGGAGCAAGATTCTGACTCATCCCTCTGAGAGAGACGTGGGAAGGCCCGTGATGCGCACAGCTCTGGCCAATGGATTTACGTTCCCGAATCTCCAGGATGCTGATACAGAAGCAAGGAGCAAGGATGGATCCCACTGGAGCTTCTAGCTGCTCAAACAGCTTCTGTGGGAAGAGGAATTGCTTGTAGAGCCATCCTCAGAGTGGGGCCACCAGAGGTGAAGCACTAAATCCAGTTTTGGGATCATCAGCACAAGGATGTGGAGCTGCTGGAGCAGATCGAGAGGAGGCCACAAAGATGCTCCAAGGGATGGAGCCAGGCTGGGAGAGCTGGGAATGTCCAGCCTGGAGAAGGCTCCAGGGAGACCTCAGAGCCCCTTCCAGTGCCTGAAGGGACTTCAGGAGAGCTGGAGAGGGACTTGGGACAAGGGATGGAGGGACAGGACACAGGGAATGGCTTCCCACTGCCAGAGGGCAGGGTTAGATGGGATATTGGGAAGGAATTCTTGGCTGTGAGGGTGGTGAGGCCCTGGCACAGGTTTCCCAGAGAAGCTGTGGCTGTTCCTGGATCCCTGGAAGTGTCCAAGGCCAGGCTGGACAGGGCTTGGAGCCTGAGTGGGTGGAATTCCATGATCTTTAAGGTCTCTTCCAAACCCTTCCATGATTCTTCAATTTTAAATACCAAGTCCCAGAATTTGGGGCTAAGTGATCCAGGAACAGGCAGAGGGGGGATGGAGTTGCTGCCTTTAACAGGGACAATTATGGAGCTGATGTCCCAGGATAATCTGGCTCTGGCTCTGCGCAAAGGACAAGCAGCTGCTTCTAAAATGCATCAAGGGAAACTCCAACCAGACACAGGGAAGCAAAAGCTTTGCCAGGGCAGTGATTCATTTCCAAAACAGTGAGAGATGGCGGAGGAATGTCCCTCCACAGAAACATTGAAATTAAGTTTGAGAAAACACAGAACAACCCAGCCAGAGCTGACTCTCCTCTGAGCAGAAGGTTGAACTTGAACTCTCCAGAGATCCTCCCAACCCTGGATTTCTGGGAAGAGTCTGGGCAGGGGCAGCAGATACCACAACAACATAAGAGGAACTTCTCATCACCTCCTCCCACCCCTAAATTTATCTTCTCCAACAGCTCCTCTATCAACACTGCCCAGAGCCATCAGTGTAGGATATCCCCAAGCTGCAGGAAGGGTACAAACTTCCCAACCCTTACATGGTTTTTGGGGATTTTTTCATTTGTTTGGGGGTTTTTTGTTGGGTTTTTTTGTTATGTTTTTTCCTTTTTATTAAAGCTCCACTACATACCTAGAACAGCCCTAAGTTCCAGTGCCAGCCTGAGCAGTCAACTCCATCCCTGGCAGATTTTGGGTGAGGTCTCCTCCCACCCACAGTGATAAAGAAGGCTTTTATGAAAAGCAAATTAGGAAACCAGAAATCACATGGGAAGGTGTCATTTCTGGTTTTGTCACAAACCACAACTTCCCTTTTTTAAATAGCAAGAGGAGGTCATCACAACGGAAAAATGCTAAACTTTTGACTTTGAATTTCACCAAATGCTGCCACAACCTTGGATCGCCAAACAAACACAGGTTTTCCTCTGCCTACAACATCACAGAAAGTTGGAAAAGACCTTTAGTATCATCAAGTCCAACCACCATGTTGTTCACCACTAAACCATATCCTCAAGTGGCATTTCCAGAGGTTTTTAATGAGCACTTCCAGGGATGGAGACTTCAGGAAAACATTGGAAAAACAGAGCTGAAACCACACCTGGAAGGGCCAAAGTGAGGAGGGGTCATCTGAGCACATCAGCAATGCCTGGAGCCACCAAATAACCCCAAATTATTGGGGTGGGAGAGGGATCCTGCTCTCTGGGACAGGAGCTGATCCTGCTCCACAGGGTTCTGAGCAGTCGGAAAAGCTCCTGGGCATTAGGCCATGGGAATGGTCTATGGAATATTGCCAGAAACACTTGGAGGACTCCAGGAAAAACAGGGTGAGGATGGACAGGACCATTTGGGACAGCAACAGCTCAGCCTTTCTGGAATTATTCCTTTATTTTATAGAATTCCAGAATGGTTGGGATTGACAGGAACCTTTAAAGCTCCTACCATGGGCAGGGACACCTATCCAAGGTTGTTCCAAGCCACATCCAACATGGCTTTCTACCCTTCCAGGGATGGAACACCCAGAACCACACATGGAATGAGTTGTAAAAAGCCTCCAGTCATGGATACTCAGAAAAAAAAAAAATCACTCCTGGTTTTAATGAGAATGCATTCCAAGACCTCCATTTACAACCAAAACAGCAACAATTTCAACACGAGAATGAGTGGAAATAAACACATGGGAAGCACCAGGAGCTCTGGAATACACAGCCCTGGATATCAGCCCTGAGGTGCAAGAAGGTTTTGCTGCCAATGCAACAGTTTGTTCACACCTGGGATTCACTGGGATGTGGGAATTCTGCCAGGAATGTGCTGATACTGCTTTTTTGGGATGTGGAAAGCAGCCCATTAAGCAGCAAACACAACCAGTTTATGCTGTTGATCCCTGCCTGCTCCATTCCCAGCTGGAGTGGGAAGGATGATGCCAAAGGCATCATCCCAACACAGGAGCAGCTCCAGGAATATTGGTCCCACTCCCCACCACACATCCCACAGAGCCTGGCCCAGCATTATTGTATTTCCTAGGAAATTCCCCATTTCCTAAGCCTCTGTCTGGAGAGAGCAATCCTGCTCTGGATACAGGAGCTGAGCCAGAGCCAAGTGAAGAAAATAAGGAAATTAACATGGCCTCAAGTGAGATGTGTTCTCCCAGACAGAACTTTACCACATGGGGGTGCTTAAAATGCACTTTGTTCATGGCCAAGGTGAATTTTAACCCCCTGAAATGTGAAACTACTTTTAAATCCAACATCTTCCCTTCTACCTTCTCCTGACATGACGCAAATTCCCTCAAATGTTTTTTCCATTTAATATCCCTGCAGTTGCACAACTTTCTCCTCTCCTGGAGGGGAAAGAGCAAAAAATACCTGGAAATGTAAAACCTTGAGATTTCTCCTTTGCCCCCAGTGCATCCCTAACCCAATCCTGGGTTATACATTGCAGTTCCTGTTTTCCTGCTGTCATCACCTCGTGTTTCCCCATCCATCCCACTCAGTCTGGAAAGGGCAGCACAGCTCCACTACACCAAGGAGACAGCATTAGACGTGATTTTGTTGATCAGCACAATTGAGGCTCTTTTTTAATCTCCTTCCAGGACTCCAGAGGAAGGCCAAGTACCTGGCAACTCTGAACAGGAATTAAGAGTTCCCAAAGTCCGAAATCCCAATCAGCAATACCTGCTTCAACTGGAAATCCAGGTGCTTGTTTTTCCATCCAAAAAAAAAGGCACCAAACTCAGACAACCCTCAGCCACCAGCAAATTAGAAAAAAAAAAATAGCTTCCCAACAGCACCAAATGAGCAGGATTTGGGATTTAACGTGGAAGGCACCGGCTCAGAATTCAAAGTCCTCGCCAGCCATGTCGATGGCCCAGGCAAACTTCTCCCTCTGGGTCTTGTTGTAGATCTTCTCAATGGGAATCCCGAACTTCTTGCACCTGTGCAGACCACAAGACACCAGTGGGGACCAGTTACCCAGCAGTGTCCTCTCCACTGCAACCCTGGAAGTCTCCAAGGCCAGGTTGGATGGAGCTTGGAGCAACCCGGAACAGTGGGAGGTGTCTCTGCCCATTGAACACCACAAATTTTAAGGTCCTTTCCAACCCAAACCATTCCATGATTTCACACCCAAGACTTACCAGGCCACGGTAATCCTGGGATCCAAGTAATTCAGCTTGGATGTGCCCAGAGCTATTTGCTTGTTCTCCTCCTTGTCCGTGGCCTGGATGTTCATCCTGGCCAATTGCTCCTCCAGCCTCTTCAACAGCTTCTTCTTCTTCTCCACGTTGCTGAGGGCAGAGAAGGAACAACACAGAATGTCCCAAAGCCCAGAAATTCTCTGGAATGGCAGAGTCAAATTCAGCACTAACCTATTTCTCAGGGGTTTGGATCTGGTGAGATGCCTTTTTAATATTAAAAATTAACAATAAAAAATGTAATTTCCACCACCAAAGGTGGGCAAACAAAATCCAGCATCCTGGAATGGGCTGCCCAGAGAAGCTGGGGCTGCTCCATCCTTGCAAGTGTCCAAGACCACAGTGGACAGAGCTTGGAGCAACCTGGGAGAGTGGGAGGTGTCCCTGAAGGGAACCATCCACAAGATCTTAACCATCTTCCAAACTTCCATGGGACAAGAAGGACCCAATCCCAAACATGGGCATTTCTGTTCTGATGTTGGGACACATCAGCCCCATCCATGGGCCCTCTGGATCCCTCTGCAAGAGAGGATTCCAAGGAAAAGCCACTCACGCTTCTGCTTTGGCATCTTTTGTGTCCTTAAACTCATCTTCAGCTTTTTTCACTTCTTCCTGGGCTTCCTCCACTTGTTTCTTCTTGGCGTCGATCTGTGAAGGTGAAAAAGTGAGACAACACTTCCAACCTTGCTGAAGGTTTCAGCTTCCTCCCTCTTTTCCTTCACACACCATTCCTCAATTTCTTACCAACCCTGCTTCCCAATTTGTCCCTGCAGCATTTTCTGGGCTCAAGCATTTTTTAGCATCTTCTAAAATATCATCCCAGCCCAGATGCCACAAACACTTGGAGCTCCTAAATCTGTCCATCTTTTGCACCTGCCTGAGACTGAGGGACTTGTGACAGCACCAGAACACTCAGAAAAGTCCCAGCCCTTCAGTGGGGTGTGAGCAAAAACTGAGGACGATTAAAAGTGGTAATTTAAGGTATTTTCAAGCTGCTCCTCCAGCAAAAAGACAGGAAAACCAATTTCCCTGATCTTGATCCAGCTGGGCCAGAGCTGCCATCACAAAAGGCCCCCAGCTTGAAGACAGAGTGACAAAAAATGCCCCAAACTCATAAAAAATCACCCAAATTCTGTGCCAAGTTGCTTCCCCCAGCATCTGAGGTCACCACATCCCTCTCCACCCCTGGGTTGCAATCCACTACTCCCAGGACATTCCCTATGTTCTTGACCAAGGTGATCCCTCCAGACATCACCCCAGCCCAAACTAGAATTCAGAGGCCGGATTAGGTCTGGGATCTCTCAGCTGGGTCTGTCTCACCTTTTCCTGGAGGACTTGCATGGACCTGGCAAAGGTTTTTGGTATAGACCTCTGATGGTTGCACAGGATGGCCACAGCCCTGTTGGCTCGGTTGTAGGACAGAAGCTTTCCTGCAACGTTGTCTTCAGCTGGAAAGAAATGAAAACATCACTCTGACTCCATTCCAGGAGCTGGGAAAAGCAGGGAATACAGCAGAAGGAAAGGCAAACAAGTTGCTGTCGCATTCTCTCTCCAGGGAGAGCAATAATGGTTGGGGGAATCAGGGAAGGACAATTGAGCATCACAATCTGGTGCTGTGACTCATCCCTCACGTACCCAAGGAGGCAGAAACAGTGCAGCCAACCAGCAACACAAGGAAAAGAGGGAAAAAAATATTCCCATCCTGGCCCTCAGTTAGTCAGAGTATCCTCAAGTTCACCACATCTCACTTACAAACATCCCTGACTTGCTGCTCACCCCCACATGTCACTCCTGCCCCACTATGTGGAGCATCACCCTGCCCAGGTGGGACATGGGCAGTTTTAGGGATCCCAAGGCAATGGATGAACATTCCTGATCCCTGTGGTCCCAACCATGCCCTGGTGACACCACAGCCACTGGAACTCACGGTTGGTGAGGGCCTTGAGCTGCTCCTGCAGGGTGATGGAAGCGTTGTAGGTCCTGAAGACTTTGGCCGTCAAACCATCCATGAGGTCCTGGAGGTGTTTGTTCAGGAAGGTTGTCTGGAGGAGGGGAAAAACAGGGAAAAGTGTAGGGAAACTCACCATTAGGAATTCTAGTGGTAGGACAAGGAGGAATGGCTTTAAAATGACAAAGGGTTTGACGGGATATTGGGAAGGAATTCTTCCCTGTGAGGGTGGTGAGGCCCTGGGATGGAATTCCCAGAGAAGCTGTGGCTTCCCCATCCCTTGAAGTGTACAAAGCCAGGTTGGATGGGGTCTGGAGCAGCCTGGGATAGTGGAAGGTGTCCCTGCCCATGGTGAGGATTTGGAACTTGACAGTCTTTAGGGTCCCTTCCTCCCCAAACCATTCCATGAAGTAACAGAAAAAGCAGAAGCCAGGACAAATCTCTTTTTAGACCATCTTCTGCCTAGCAACCAAAATCAGGCATTAACAAAAAATTAAATCCTGCAGAGCTTTTAAAAAAATTAAATCTTGTAGAGCTACTTGTGGGGTCAGGTCATCATCTACCCAAAACTCGCCTAAAAATTCCACCTAAATCCACAAAAAAATCTCTCTGGAATTCAACAATTTCTTCCCACCTATGTCCAAGAGGACACACATTGGCACTTGGGGACGTGGTTTAGTGGTGGACCTGGCACTGCTGGGTTAATGCTTGGATTTGATGATCTTAGAGGTCTTTTCCAAACAATCATTCCTGACCTCACATCCCTGTTCTACAGAGAACATGGAGCTGCTCATTGATCCTATACCCCATCCCAAAGAAGATGAGGGAAGAGGTTTTTCCAGGAGGGAAGGCAGCACATCCCTCCAGCAACCTCTTCCACTTCTGTGGAGCCCCAATGAGGTGCAAAAGTATCAAAAAGCTGAGGTCTGGTACCTCCAGTAATTCCCCAAAATGTGGGCAGACCTTCCCAGGCTAAAAAAAGCCCAAGTGGGTGAGTTGGAGGAGGGAAGGAGCAGGAATCCAGCTTCTCAGCAGGGACACAGGGAACCAATGCAAAAAGAGGCTGGAAAACCTCACAGGGTGTTCAAACAGTGACAGTGGTGTCCCTAGAGAGGAGAGAGGTAAAACAAGGCAAAGGGATGACCACCAAAGGTGGCCAAGGGTGTCATGGTTTGGCTTCTCCTCCTTCGGGGCCACCAGTACTGTTTGAAAAGCTCTGAGGTGACAACTCACATTGAGGTGCTCAAAGAGGTCATCGCCGGGGTCCTTGTTCTTCATGAACAGCTGAAGGTTCTTGAACACCTGAAGAGGGGGAAAGGACAGCCCTGGTCAGGGCCAAGGAATGAATTGCTCCCAGACATCTCCCTCATCTGTCTCCTCCTCCAGCAGGACTCTGATTCACCCTCATGTCGGCACATCCCACCAACCCTCTCAGCTTCAAGGTGCCTCTGGGTGTTCCCTCCATCTGTCCCATCTCCAGCATTCCAGTTTCTCCACAAACACCACTAAAATCTTCTTTCCCATGGGTAAAGGAAAATTATTTAATATAAACAGAGACGTTTCAAGTCCTGAAGTGCACGAGCCAACTGAGGGTGCCCCAGCAAGAGGTGGGACTTCTCCCTCACGAAGTAGAACAACCTTGGGAGTTCTATCCCAAAATTCCCCCCATTCTCCAGGGTTAAAGCACATCTTGGTAACAGGTTTTGGATGGAAATTTGGGACCGATAAACACTGAGGGAACCCAGACAACCAAGCACTTCCTCTACTCCTGCCCCACTCACCGGCTTCTCCACGGACACTTTGTTGTAGTAACGGATGGAATCTTTCCCGAGGAAGTCAAACTCCACCACGTGCTCCTGCCCATCCAGCTGGGGGTGCAGCTGGATGTGCTCCACGCGCAGGGAGCAGCAGCCAACCGTGTCCGCAGTCTCCCCTTCCTCCTTCTCATTCCCAGCTCGCAGGGCCAGCTGGAAAGAAAGTAAGGAGTCGTCCATCCTGTGCTATTCCACCTCAATTCCCCTTTGCCAGGTTGATAAAGTGGATTGGGACTAGAGGAGATGGATCTCTATCTATCTCTATCTGTAGAGTCATAGAATGATTTGGAAGGGACCTTCAGGATCGTCAAATTCCAACCCCCTGCCATGGGGAGGGACACCTTCAACTAGGGACAATTTTCGTTTTCCACACCTCTGGAACCTATTCGAATCCAGGCTGGATGGGGCTTGGAGCCACCTGATCAAGTGGAAGGTGTCCCTTCCCACAGCAGGGGGTTGGAATGAGATGATCTCTAAGGTCCCACCCAACCATACCATTCCAGGATTCCATAATCATCCCCAGATTCCTCATGTGGAGCCAACCTGGGTGGCAGAACCAGCAAACACCAAAAACTACATGGTGGGGTGGATCAGGGAAGTGAGTTCCCAATTTCCACATGGATGGAGGACCTGGGGTGAGGCTGTGGATACCTTATCAATGAAGTAGAGGGCCACTGCTCTTTGCCTCTTCTTTATCTCCTTGGATTTCCAGTCTTTTCTGTACTGAGCCCGGATTGTGTGGACAACATCCTTTAGGCGCCGAGCGACCTCGTATTTCTGCCAGTCCTTCTCCCCCTGGAATGGGAAACCAGGATATTTTCCATCTCATGCCCCATCTTTATTCCACCCCTACCAGTCAAATCCTGCTCTAGAAACACCTCCATCATCTAAATCCTGCTCAAACCCTATCGCTGGCCAGGGGTCTCTGTACAAATCACAAACGGGACGGGACTGCTGTGGAATGTGCCTTGAGCTGTTTGATATTCCAGCATCAGTCTCATTACATGGAAGATGCCATCAGCTCAAATCCCAGGCAGCAGACAAAGAACTTAATGTTACAACTTACTTGAAAGGTTTTTTGACCAATCACACAAAGCAAAAGCATATTGACAGTAGTTCTATCCAACCACTATAAGCACACGTACCTTCGGTTAAAACACTGCTTGCTTATTTCAAATACAACACCTACTTGTAAGCCTTAAAACACAATGCACAGAGCTCTGTTATTAAGCTTAGAACTTCCTAATATCTTGCTAGATAAACTTTTCTGTAGCTTAGGGAGTTATTCTAGACAAGCACTAATACACAGACCATTGTTCTATTTGTCCTTGCTTTTCTACTTTTTCAATAATTTTTCTGCGACCTATCTCATGGCTACTGCTTAGCTCTAATCACAGTTCTGCTGTCTCTGAGGCCTGCCTTTTGCAGCTTTCCCAAAACCCTCTGATTTTGTAGATTCCCACAAAACCCCGCTGTTTTCTTGGGAAAAAAATCCTTGAAGGGAATAAACTGGAAAAGAAACAACTCATCCAGGGTTTCTGTGCCCTCTGCTGGCCGTGCTGGATCTGAATCCTGGTCAGGGTGTTCTCCAGAAGTCAGAGCACGGCAAAGACCAAGTAGTCAAACCATGGCCAAAGGTGGCTCCTTGGACACCAGTGTGGACTGACACAGCACTTGCTCAGTTGTGTCTACCTGGGCAGCATTCCCACTTTCCCTGAGCCCTTGGAAACAGCCTTAAATCCCCTTTCTCTTCCCACAGAGTTCAATCCCATCTCTTCCTACTCTCCACTTCCTGGTATAAATTAACCCAACTCTGGTCCCTGTGGATCTTTCTTAGCCCCTGTGGATCTTTTCAGCCCCCATCTGGCTTCCAACAGCCCTCCCTGGACACACACAAGCAATGTGGCACCAGGATCACTCTGCCAGGAGCAACCCATTCCTTGGAATAAGTTTGATGCTTCACAATCATCTGTCCTTTCCCTCATTTTTTTAATCCACTTTTAAGAGAAGGGCCAGAAAAAAAAATAATTTTTGATCCTCCACATCCTGGCTTTCCCAGATTTTTTTCACCTGACCAAGGGCATTATTCCAACCTTCAGCTTGGAGCTGGGATTCAGCATGATGTACTTCAAGGTGTTCTGGATGTTCTCTGTCCATGAGGCCAGCCAGGTGACCGTGTTGTCAAAGCGCACCTCCTTCCACTTGTGGCCTTCTGGGGGCTCAGGAATCTTGGAATCCCTGTGGGAAGAGCAGGATTAGAGCCCTCAGACCATGAAGAATGAAGTTTCCAGTGAGCCTTCCAAAGACTGAGAAAACATGGAACCCACCTAGAATTACTCCACAACACAGAATCATTAAAGTTGGAGAATTCCTCCAAGATTGAGTCCAATCATGAACTGGGACTGCCAGGAGCACCAAACCGTGTCCCCAAGTGCCACATCTACACAGCTTTCCCACCCCTGCAGGGCTGGTGACTCCACCACTGCCCTAGGCAGCCTCTTCCAGAGCCTCACAACCCTTGCTGTGGAGATGTTTTCGCTAATATCCAACCTAAACCTCCTCTGGCACAACAGGAGGACATTTCCTCTTCTACTATATATATATATATTTTTTTTTTTCCCCTGGGAGAAGCCAAGCCCTATGTGGCTCCACCTTCATGTCAGGGAGTTTTAGAAGGTCCCCCCCGACCTCCTTTTCTCCAGGCTGAGCCCCTCCAGCTCCCTCAGCTGCTCCTGGTGCTCCAGACCCTTCCCACAATCACGTGTTTATCGTTTGGATGCTGGGAACAATAGGAAAACCTTCTGGACAGGTGGGGAATGTTTTGAATCAAGGTCTTCAAATGGGTGGCTTAAGACCACTTCAGATCACAAAACTAAGAGGGAAAAACACTCTCAGGATGTGGAATTTTAGGGATTCAGGGATTTTAGAAGATGGAAAAACCCCAACTCTGGGCAGAGGAAATGCCCAGTTCCCCCCAATCCCAAAGGAAGCCCCAGGAGCTCAACACTTCCAAGGACAACCCACTTGCTGCAGTTGATGATGACATCTTCTGGCATGATCCTCTTCTTGAGCATCCCCATTTTGGGGTGCTCCCCACGGCCACGGAAGAGCCCCGGAGGTTCAGTTTTGAAGTTGCCAATCTTCTCCCGGTGCCCATCCAGGATGCAGTATCCATATTCCTCCTGGATCTTATCCGCCTCCTCCTTCAGCTTCTGAAACCAGGACACCACCAAAAAGATCAGAATGGTTTGGACTGGAAAAGATCTTTAACATTCCAACCAAGAAGTCTAAGTGCCATCATTCCCTTGGCAAAATCCACAATCCTCTGGATAGGGAAGGACTCCAAAACATGATCCAAGGATGACTGGTGCCATGCAAACCCATGGAATGTGCAGATCTGCTGATAAAATTCAGGAAGAGGGGGGCAATGGCCATGGAGACAGAGCTGAGTTAAAGAAGTCCAAACTCAGGGCACAACACCAGGAAAGAAAAGAACAAAGAACCAAAATTCCCCAAACATGTCATAGGAACCAGTCCTTACCTGCTTCTCCTCCTTGGGAAGTGCTTTACGAGCCTCATTTTTGTCCACAAAATATCTGTGAATCTCCCCAAAGTCACATTTGTCCAGGTCCTTGATTATCTCTTGCTCCTCTGAGGTCATTTCCTGGGAAAGAGATGAGAGGGGCTGGGAAAAGCCAGGAGGCAAAACTAATTCCACGTGGAGCTGCTGCTTGTGCCTGTCCTTGGAAAAGGGAATAGAGACCCATTCTTTGAAAAAAGACAACCAGTTCTGGGGTGGAAGAACCTAATATGGAAAAAAAGTCCTCAAACACAACTGCAGAGACAGCACCAAATATATTTGGGAGGTGTAAACATTCCCTAGAAAGAGTTTGGGGTTGTTTTGGGATCAGAGGTCATTCCTTCATTCTCTGGTATCCCAAACTGGTTTTGGAGCTGTTTGCAAGATCTACCTCCTGTACCCATCACTAAAACTCAGAGGGAGCACAGAAAGCAAATCCCAGCCCAAACCCACAAAAAACATGGAAATAAATCAGGATTTAGAACCTCATAATTATAAAAAAGGAACAACTCCCCCCATTCCCCCTATCCCACACCACAGCCTGGGGCGGATGGGTTTGATGGATATCAAGGAGCCCTCCCAGGGAAGGTACCTTCCTCCAGTCATGGAAGAAGTTGTTCTGGAAGATCTCCTTGGTGGTGTACTCGTGATCCAACATTTTGGCATAAAACGTGGCGATTTCCTCCGTGGCCAGGCTCAGCTTCAAGGGTTTTCCTGGGAAAAGAGAGGCAGGGACAACTAGACCAGGCTGCTCCAAGCCCTGTCCAACCTGGAACACGTCCAGGGATGGGGCAGCCACAGCTTCTCTGGGCAGAATCTTGGATGATTTTTAGATTTTCTAAGGATCTTGAATCATTTCTTGGAGGCAAAGCCACCATCCCCTCCTGAGCTCTTTGGCTGGAGAAATACAACAAAACCAAACAATATCTTGGTTCATCCTAGGAATTACTTGGAAATAACTTATTTTTTAGGAAAAAGTCCTCTGGAGATGTCCAGGGAATGGTTGATTCCTACTTGAACGACTGTTTTTTGGGATTTTTGGACTGAAGGGAATGGAGCAGCCCCATGACAACCCCAAACACCAGCTCATCCATGGGTCCTTCCTGCTTGGGGTTGTTGCCTGTCCATAAACACTTTTCCATCCAGGAACAGTGACATTTTTTAGGAAAAAAAAGTCAACATCAAAGATCCCAAATACCAAAGCCACACCTCAGATCCGCAACACCTCAAAGATCACAGAGAAGGTCCAAACCCTGTCAAGGCTCCTCCTCACGGAGCCAAAATCCCTGACAGCCCCATGGATGTCCCAGCAGTGCCCACTGGTGCTGCCAGGCACTTCCTTTTTCCTACTGCAAAAAAAAGGTATGGGAAGCCCCAGGAAACTGAGGAACACCAAGGGAATGTGATCCCTTTCCATCTCCACCATCTCTGGGCTGACCCTCAATGTCCTTATTCCCCCCCTCCCTTTGATCCATCAGAAATGAGTTCAGGGGTGAACTGAGAGCAGGGAATGGCAGGAAACCCAGTGGGAATGTCAGGAAAACACGGAGGCAGCAAAGGCCTGGATCTGTCCTGCCAGTGACACCCTGAGTTGCTCTAAGGTGATGTGAGGTGACCCTGGGGAAATCAGGAGCTTGGAGCAGCCCAGCTCCAAAATCCTTGGATGTGTCAGTCACTGAGGCCACGGATCAGTAAAATCACATTTTTTCCAGCTCATTGGAAAACATGGATGAACTGACAAAACTCAAACCCAAAATGCAGCTTAATGAGAAAAAACAGCAATTAGGATCAGCTCCCCAAAAAACCCATAATTCCAACTACGTGTAAGATCCTCCAGCTTGAACCCATGGCTTTTCCAATGGGATATTCATCTTCCCTGAGGAGAGGACACCACCCCAAGCCCCGGGTCCCACCACAGCTGTACCATCGTAATAAAACTGCACATCCTTGGGCAGGGGCTCGTAGGGGGGCACAAAGTAGGGCCCTCGGTGCTCCAGCTGCATCCACTTGACTCCATCTTCCTTCTTCTCCTCTTCCCACCTGGAACAGACGCACAGGAGTCCATGAGAATATCCCAAATCTGGCACCCGGCACCTCCTCCCAAGGTCACATCGGGAGAATGCCGGAGCAGTGACAGCTGATAAAAATTCCAGGTTAAATCCCATCTTCTCTGCTGCTGCCTCCGTTTCCCTGTTCTTTGAAACAAGGAAAACGGGAATGGAATCCATGAAATTGAGGTGTGGTGACATGGAGGAACTCATGGGGGGGAGTGAAGAGAGCCTAAAAGCCACCTCTTTTCAACCCCTTCCCATGGGCAGGGACACCTCCCACTAAATCCAGGTTGCTCCAAACCCCATCCCATCCAAGGAATACTTCCAGGGATGGGGCAGCCAGGGCTTCTCTGGGAAACCTATGCCTCATAAATATTTATAATTTTGATTTTAACACAAATAAGATCTTAAAGAATCTTTCCTCCTGCAGGAGCAAATGGGATTTTAGAGCCACTACAAGTATTGACTGTGCGGATTCTAAAAACAGCAACAAAAATTCCAGTAAAATTAAATTTGAAAATTAAAAAAATAATAATGATGTCCAAAAATCCAACGGGAAAATCAGGAGCAGGACGCTAAAAAGAGGGATGAAACCACAGGTTAGGGTCAGAGGAAGAGCACTGGTGACAGCAGGGGACAGGCAAGGATCTCTGTCCCACAGCCAGGCTGGCACTGGCCCCTTAATCCCAGCATCTCCAGGAAAAGAAAAGCCAAGGATTTCCAGGAAAACACAGCAAGATTCCACACAGAGAAAGCAAAATTCCTGTTTCTCGCTCAGCAATGCCCCAGAAATTATTTGTGAAATTTTTTTTCTTCCCCACGGGAAGCAGAGTGGAATAAATCCATTGCATCCAAAGGTGCATTTTGCCGTACAAACAGAGGAAATTAAATAGTCAAGGAAAACCAGCAAACTCCAAGAATTTGGGCTGAGAGCATCGGAGAAAGGCAGCGTCAGGATCATTTTGTGATCATCTCTCTTCCCAAAATTCTGGAATCACAAATCCCTGCAGAGCATCCCCCACACTCACCTTGCACAGCCCTCCTGAGCCCATCCAGAGGCCAAGGAGGGTGACACATGGGAATTTCCTCATGGGAAATGTGGTTGTGGATAATTTTTTGGGGATTGAATTCCCACGTACCAGTCTCCATGCCAGGATCCAGCCATTCCAAGCAAGGCATCGATTAGGAAAAAATATATAAAATCTTATTTTTCACATCACCCTGGATCCTTCAAGGGCCACCTCAAAGCTCCAGGCATCCATGGATATCCCTGTCTGGGATAACGGCTCCTCCCAGACCAGGGTTTGCCACAGGCTCCCAAAAAGCATCCCAAAAATTCTCCTGCTCTGTCCCAGATCTTGGGGAGATCTGGGAGAGAGAGACACCAAGTGGCTGAAGTCACGCTTCCAAAAAACAATCCAGCATCCAGCAGCCACATTCCACATCTTTTCCTATAAAATACCTGCCTGGATCATCCCAAATCTGCTGGACAAGGAAGTGGGGAAGGAATTCAGACCCTCTACAGCTCCCTGATAGAGGTGCTGCTGTCTTGGACTTATTATTTTTATTCCCTTCCAATAATTATGAGCTTCTCCCTTCCCAGGATGGACACCAAGAAAATCATTGGAGGAGAAATAAATATTATAAACAAATTTTAAAATAAAGATAATTATGATACAAATCCTGCTGTGCATTCAGGACCTTCCCTGATCTCTCACCCATTTCCAAGAGTGGCAAGTTCAAGGCTCAAGGGAATATAGGAAAACAGCCAAAAATAGGAATTTTCACTGTTTTGCCCCACAAAATAAAATTAAAATCCCAGGGTTTTAAACCCAGTCCCGGGGTTAGACCTGCCAAAGGCACGCTGGAATTTACCATTTCCATTTGTTTTCTGCCTCTTTTTCTTCTTCCTTCTGTTTTTTAGGTTTTTTATTGTTCTTTTCTTCTTCTTTCTTTTCTTCTCCTTCCTTAGATTTCCTTTTCCCACTTTTCCCTGGGGTTTCTTCCTCTTCACTCTTTTTCTCCATCTCTTTTGTTTCCCCCTCTGGCTTTTTCTTCTTCTTTTTCTTCTTTTTCTCTTCCACTTCAGTATCTTCCTTCCCTTCATCCTTGTCCTCCTTCCCCTCCTGTCCCATCCCTGCACTCCTGGCCTCTCCCAATCCTTCCTCCCCTTTCTCATCCACTTCCTCCTTTTCTACTCCTCTCCCATTTCCAGCTCCCTTTCCCACCCTCTCCTCCTCCTCCTCCTCCTCCTCACTTCCCACTCCTTTCTCTCCCTCCTCATCTTTCTCCATCTCTTGCTCCTCTTTCAGCAATTTTTCCTTCTTCATTTTCCTCTTCCCCACCTTTTCCACCCCCTTCACTCTCCCCCTGCTGGGCTTCTTTGCTTTCCCTTTCTCCCGCTTTCTTTTCCCTTCATCCCATCCTTGGCTGCTGTTGCTTCTCTGTCTTTTGGCTCTTCCCTGTCCCCCTTCCCAATTCCTGCCTTCATCCCCCTCCTCCTCCTCCTCAATGCCATCCATCAAATCCTCAGATTTTTCCTTCCTCCCTCTTTTTCTCTTCAATCTCATCTCCTGCTTGTTTTCCTCATGTTTCTTCCCTCCTTTTCTCTTCAATCCCTTTTCCTTCTTGTTTTCTTCATGTTTCTTCCCTCCTTTTCTCTTCAATCCCTCTTCCCGCTTGTTTTCCTCTTGTTTCTTCCCTCTTTTTCTTTCTGGGGCTTGGGAATCCTCTTCCTGCTGCGGGATAGGGGGATCCAGCTCCTTCTCCTCACTCTCCCTCACAGCCGGGAGCCCCACATCCCTCTCCAAAGGATCTCCAGAGGGGGATGCAACCCCACCAGCAACACCTTCACTTGGGACCTGTGGGAAGCAGGAATAAAAGGGAAGAGATGTTGGGAAAGGAGAGAGGTTATCCCAAATCCCAAGTGAATGGTGGAGAAGCAGGATTAGGTCCAGGGGGTGACATTCCCCCCAGTTTTCCTACCCCAATTCCATTCTGGGTCTCCAAGTGCTGCTCTCCCACTGCAGGTCCTGTTCTCTGGGATTGGTCCTGGGACCTACAATGACATCACAGCAAATTCTCATACTAGTATTCCCTTTTTCCATCCCAAATTAGGAAATTGCTCCCTCAATTCCCTCCAACCACGGCAGCACCGCGGATGGAGATATCCTGAGACAGCAGGGAATGACCCCAGGTTGGATTTTATGGGATGAGGAAGCTCAAAGGAGCAGAACCACAAAGTCTCCAGACAAAACAGGGGAGGTCCTAAGGAAATATTCCCAGAGAAACCTCAGGAGAAAAGGTTTGGCAACACCAATAGCAGAAAGGAAAGGATCAGGCCAATCACGGACACACTGGAAAAAGGAGACAGATGGGACACAATTCCTGGGACTGTGGGGATGATTCCAGTGGGGAATGGGCAGGGAAGGAGCCTCATCAATACAACAGGACAAAGATTGTCCAGATCCATGATCTCCACCATCCATATGGGTGAGGAATCCAGGAGTGTTTCCCTGCTCAGCACAGAGCTCAGATGAATCTTTGGGAATTCTGTGGGATTTGCAACCCTTATAAAGCACCAACCTGCCCCTGTAATTTCTCCCAGGGCTTCTTCGAGCCAGGCAGGGAATCGTGAGTCTTCAAGGTGTTCAAACTCCAGAAAAATCAAGCAAAATAAGAATGAAGAAACAGCAGCACAGCCTGAACCAAGCTTACGTCTCCTAGGCTGAGCCTAAAACTCCAAGGGGTGGATTTAGGTGGGGTATTATGAAAAAATTCCTCATGGAAAGGGTGGTCAAGCACTGGAAGAGGCTGTCCAGGTGGGATCATCATCCCTGGAAGTGTTCCAAAAAGCTGTGGATGTGGTGCTTTAGGACATGGTTTAATGGTGACCTTGGATATTTTTTCCATCCCTTAGAATTCCATGAGTTTAATGTTGAGGTGATGGCGTCCCTTTCCCTCCTGGGTCATTGTCACCCCCCAAACAAATCCTCTGGTCCATCCTAGCTAAGCCTGGAGCTAAGCTCAAGCCACAGATCAGATCCATTCCCTGCTTTCCCCAGCTCCTGGATCCTGCAGCAGGAACCCTTAGGAAGCACAGCCAGCTGCCCGATCCTTCCCAAAAAAGAGGTGAAAATCCAGTTTCCTCCTCCCAAGCAGGATAATGATTGCTCTTCCTGGACTTCCAAATAGAGAAGAGCCACAATTCCTGCTTGTAACCAAAATTTCTGCAACAGAAAGTGTGAATTTTGGTTCCTTTCCATAAATCAATCTAGGCAGATAATTAATTACCAGGCTGTGGGACATCAAAGCAAGGAAAACCTTTGACCTGGCTTGGGATGGAAACAAGTTCCTCAAAAAAAACCCCCAAAAAAACAGGAGCCAGATGCTTTTTTCCTCACTGTTACACAATCCCACTAAACTCCTTAGGGAAAAGCATCCTGCAAAACACACTCAGTCCCCCCAATCCCATTGGCAGGGGGCAGATCCGTGACTCAGAAGGCAAAATTCCAGCACCTTTTGGGATCAGCTCCTTCCTCCCGAGGTTTTATTAGAGGCCTCTCACTGGGAATTTTTATGAGGCAGAGAGGATTGACCAGCTTTAGGGAATTCTGCTTCCTATCTCTGCCAGGATCTAGAGGGAAAGAACAGCCTTCTCCCTGGATTTGGGAGGGTGGTTGTTGTTGCCACCAGGACTTCCCCAAATTTATGTAGGAATGTGCACCTGAGCGATCACACCCTGTTGACTGGGGAGGGTGGATGGGGCTGGAACTTCCCTCTCCACCCTGAAATCCCAGGATTAAGCCTCAAATTCCACTTGGGATTGGTTTTGGAAAGCTCTAAAGTCGTTGAAAACACCAGGATGTGGAGAAGCTGCTCCAGGAAGGCACCAGTGATCCAGCAGGGAAAACCAGGATTGTGCAGCTCCGCAGGGAGGAGAAGAAAAAGGACAAAATTCCAGTTCCTTAGAAGACAAAATAATCCCAAAAATGACCCAACTCACCTGGAAGAGCCTTCCAGCCCCACTGCTGGCCCTTCATGGGAGGTTGCTTTGGTCTCCTCCTGGAAAATACCAAGGATTTGGGAAAGGTTCTCTGGTAAAGGTATCCCAAAGCAGCATCACCCCCAAACCAGCACTATTCCCTCCCTCAGCCCCCTTGGCTGGAATCCTGGAATCAAAAATACCAGGTTTTCCCAAGTTTTGAGGTTTAACGTGGTTAGGAAATCCCTGGTTTCCTTCCAACAGCACAATAAAAGATTTTTTATGGGTAAATATAGGAAAACTCCCAGCCCTCCTCAACCACCTGCTTATGGGAAGCACTGCTGGGAGAGCAATCCAGGGAACAGAAGGGATGGGAGGGCTCCAAAATAAAGATGGATCAAATTCCAGGTGCTTGGAAGATGAAATCACCCTTGCAGCAGATGGCAAGAGGGAAAGAGAGGTGGGGAGCAAAGCCATGGGGTGGGAAATACAATAAGGATGAGCAGAAAGCAAGAAAAAAGGAAAAAAATAGAGAAAATGAGGATAGGAGATAAAAGAAAATGAGCTCAGAAGGGACACAAACAGATCCTTAAAATCTGACTCCTGGAGGCCACTAAAAATCCTAAAGAAAGGAAAAAAAAAACAAAATATATGGAAAATGAGAATAGGAGCCAAAAGAAAATGAGCTCAGAGAGGACACAAAGAAATCCTAAAATCTGACCCATGGAGGCCACCAGAAATCCTGGAGAAAAGAAAAAAAATTCAAAATATAGGGAAAATGGGGATCTATAAGAAATTTTAAAAAGCTAAACAAGCTCAGAGGGGACACAGAGCCCTAAAATGTGACCCATGGAGGCCACCAGAAATCTTGGAGAACAGAAAAAAAACCATCAAAATATAAGGAAAATGGGGACCTATAAGAAAATTAGCTCAGAGGGGACATAGAGCTCTAAAATGTGACCCATGGAGGCCACCAGAAATCCTGGAGAAAGGAAAAAAAACCCATCAAAATATAAATGGGAGCCTAAAAGAAACTGAGCTTGTAGAGGACAAAGAGCCCTAAATTCTGTCCCTTGGAGGCCACCAGAAATCCCATCCCACTGGTTTTACACTTGTTTTCCAAGCTGGAACCACCTTCTCCTGCTCCTGACCACACAAGGCATCCCAAAACTCTTCCCAGCCTCATCCAGGCCTTGCCAAGCTCCGAGGTTCTCACTCTAAATCCCGACTTCCCCAAGTTTCTCTTCCCAAGGCTTTCAAGGGAAGCCAAAACCACACAGGGATTTCTCCTGAAAGCTGCTGGGTGAACTCATTAAGGGGAAAATAAAACCCTGAGTTAATTACAGGTTGGTTAGGTCCACATAAACTTTCATTCCCTGGGAACACGCCTGCTCTTGGATTCACAATCCTTCAGAAACCCTGTTGGGAAACTCAGGAGGAGCCATGACCTTCCAAAGTCATTCCTGCCTGAAAACGCCTGATGGTTATACTGGGAATGCCAGGACCACAGGCACCCTTGGGGGGTTTCAAGGCTGCTCCTTGAATTTGATCCATCCAGGAAAGTTTGGGGACATTTGGGATCCTGTTCTTGAGAGGGATGGAAAGAGGGGAAAAAGGAAAAGCATCTCTGCTGGGTTTACACACCAAGAGGACAAATTAAGAGAGGAAAAGTAAAATATAGTGGGGATTTGTGTTCTCCAGCACCAGCAAGGGATCATGGAATGGTTTGGGTTGGAAAGGATCTTAAAGGTCATCTCATTTGACCCCCACCTTCCACCATCCCAGGTTGCTCCAAGCCCCATTCAACCAGCCTGGCCTTGGACACTTCCAAGGAAAGCAGTGAAAACCAAATCCTGAGGAAGGGATTCCCAATCCCAACCCCCTGCTTAGGAAGTGAGGGTCACCCATATCCTGGTGCTCCCCACAGGTGCCACCAAAATGTGATGTATTCAACCCCAAAACCAGGAAATTTACTCCTTAATTTAATTCCAGATGCTCAAAAGCTCCTTCCAGGGGCTTGCACCAAACCACAAGACAGAACCCTCCCAATTCCCTTGGGAACAAACCATGGGAATGCTCCCCAGCCCTTCAGCA